CCGAGACAAGGTCAGCGAGGCAAGAGGGCCTGGACCTTCGGAAGGGCGGGGGGAAGTGGGGGGCGAGATGCCAGGCCGGCGAGCGCCCCGGCGCGTCACAGCTTTATCGGGATGAGCAAAGACGCGCTCCCTCCCCAGGGGAAAGTTATTTTTCTCTTTTCAGCCCATTCTTTGAGGGGGCGGCTCATCTCCTGGCTGCCCGTGGGCGCGTTTCACACCCGTCTCCTGCCAACAGGCTGGGGACCTACTGGGCAGCTAAATTTGAAGGCGAATCGTATGGCTGCCACGGAGCCCGCCGGATCGGTGCCGAGGAAGAGGAGGCTTTCCCGATGGGAGCTCGTGAATCCGGCTGAGCAAGCTCGGCCCTTCCCCGGAGCGCCAAAGCCCAGCCCGGAGGCCAACCCCTACGCGATTCTCCGAGCAGCTCATCGGGGAACAGCCACTGGCAGGGCAGGACGGCGCTGTGGGTTATTCCCAGGAGCTGCCAAGCAGGGCGGTCAGAGAGGCTGGCTGGGAGGAGTGTCGAGAACAGCCCTACCTTAACTCGGGAAGCCCGAATTAGATCCACGCAGGATGCGGAAACTTGCTTCCCTTTGAAACGAACCCGGTTTATTCCCCAGGAATAAAAAAAAAAAAAAAGAAAACAAACACCACCCCACTGAGTCAGAATCTGGAGCACGGGGGTACGAACGGCGTCCGTGGAGGCGGCCCTGGGGGGGCCTGCGGGAGACCCCGCAGACCTGAGCCCCCGGGAAGCCGGAGGGCTTCGCTACCTCCATCGGTAGCGGTGATTTCTTCTCAGATGGCTCCAGCCAAACTGTTCTCGCACTTCCCAGACGCCCACGCAAGCCCGAAGCTTTTTTTTTTCCCCCCTCCCTTTTCGTTAGCTGCGGCGTCAAGGCCATTCCAAGCATCTTCCTGGGTTTGCGCAGGGCTGACACACACCGGGAAGCGTCGCTGGTATTTGGGGCTTAAAGCCACCGCAGCGGCAGCCAGCAGACCTCAGCGGGGCAGCGGGCACATTTCGGGGAAGAAAAAACAGCCCGAGGGCAAAGGGTGACCTGCTGAGGCTACGTCACCCTGAGCAGGCGCGACAGCTCTGAGCTCATCTGCCAGGGTTGCGGTGAATCAGCAAAGCCCTCCCGAGCCACGAAGCCTCCGGGGTTTTGACCGCATCCAAATCCCCGGCTTGAATTGAAGGCGGCATTTATGGAAGCCGGAGGACGGGCAGCCATGCCTCCCCGTGCCCCGACAGCCGGGCACCCGCCCTGCGGCATTCCCCGCTCTCCCCGGCGTTTACCTTTTCGATGTCCACCAGCTCCGTCTCATAGATTTCCGCTATCGATATGTGGTGCTTCGCGGCGATGGTGAACCGACCCTGGAAGCAGAAAGGCGTTTGCAGGCGCTCGGAAGAGCGCCCGCCAGGCGCGCTGCCGACCTGCCCGGTCCCGGCGCTCAGGGAAAGCTTTGGGCCCCCGCCCGCGTTTGCCTCCTGGTCTCACCGGGTGCTGGTTTCAGCCCCACCCCACTCCATCAGCCCCGGCCAGGAGTTTGCCTCCTGGTCTCACCGGGTGCTGGTTTCAGCCCCATCCTCCTCCATCAGCCCCGTGTAATGCCAAGCAAGCCGGACAAAACCGCCCGAGACACACACCCCCACCCCCAAATTCCGCTGAGGGCAGAGAGAGGTGG